TACTAAATATGTAAAATTGGTACTAGCAGCTGCCTCGCTTGGCAATCAGCATTAAGATGTTAGTGTTTGGAATGGTCGGCATGGTGTCAGGAAAAAAATGACTGAGCGGGACATGATGATACATGTCTGCGGCATGATGTCTCAGTGCTAGACATTACTATAAACTGCTACACTGCATACATCGTAGCGACATGACCGACACAATGTTAAAGCTACGTTAAAGTCGAAAACAAATACCAGTATTTTTCCTGATGGTTGGAAGGAAACATCAATAGTTCAAAAAGAACAATCTTTTTGATTAAAGAAACTGCAGACTGTTTAGCATTAAACCAATGGCACCCAGACTCTAGACAAAACACCCGTGGCACAGCGAGTATTGCAGATTATTGTAACCACATATGCTGTTGTTCGTCGAAAAAAGTCATGGATTCCAAACGCCAGGAAATCATAGACTTTTACTTGAACGTTCTTGACGATATGAAATAACGTTCATGACGATAATAAATATGTACCCGCAGTTCTGACGGATTTCTATAAAGTGTTTATCTCCCTCACGACATTTTGTCATTGGCAAGCAAAAGGACTTACGGTATGTCAGACTAATATTTTATCAAACTCTGTCAAACTGCGTACATCATATTAAAATCAAGAGCATCTTAAATATAGGTCAAAAATTCAAAAAGGGTTATATAGGGGTCAGAAATTGGAAAGGTATTTTATAGGGGTCCAAAATTGAAAAAGGGTTACATAGGGGTCAGAAATTAAAAGAAAAGGATTACATAGGGGTCAGAAATCTATACAGGGGTTACATAGGGGTGTATTTGTTTTTAATTTGGTTTTCTTTTTTTTTTTACATAACTACGCTGTTATCAATACTCCGTCCTTTCCTTGCCAAAAGATCCAATGGGTTTAGAGACCTTTAAAATTCTAAATCGGATTGCTAACGAGTGCTTGGATGACCCTCTATATTTTTAGCACCATTGATGCAAATTTAGATATGAAAATATTTTAGATATCCAAAGAACCAAAACATATGTTAAGAAATCTTCTACATATTCAGTAACAAGTAGAACGGGCTTGCTAGTCATTTTTGAGACAAAATAAATTAAAAGTATTGGAGAGAATTTATTTTGCATGCAAATGTAGTTTTGTAATATTTGTTAATAATCTCTGCCTCAACTCTATTACCATGGTGATAACAAATGTTATTTGTGTTTTTATCTGTATTGCTGGTTCTTTTTCTCTAGGGACAGTTGCTATGTTATTTACTCCTTTTCTCTATGGTCAGTTGCTATGCTATTTACTCCTTTTATCTAAGGTCAGTTGAAATGCTATTTACTCATTTTCTCTAGGATCAGTTGCTATGCTATTTACTCCTTTTCTCTAGGGTCAGTTGCTATGTTATTTACTCTTTCTCTAGGGTTAGTTTCCACGCTATTTACTCATTTTCTCTATGGTCAGTTCCTATGCTATTTACTCCTTTTCTCTAGGGTTAGTTGATATGTTATTTACTCCTTTTCTCTAGGGACAGTTGCTATGTTATTTACTCCTTTTCTCTAGGGTTAGTTGATATGATATTTGCTCGTTTTCTCTAGGGACAGTTGCTATGATATTTACTCATTTTCTCTAGGGTTAGTTGATATGCTATTTGCTCCTTTTCTCTAGGGTTAGTTGATATGCTATTTGCTCCTTTTCTCTTGGGACAGTTGCTATGCTATTTACTCATTTTCACTAGGGTCAGTTGCTATGCTATTTACTCCTTTTCTCTATGGTTAGTTGATATGCTATTTGCTCCTTTTCTCTAGGGACAGTTGCTATGCTATTTACTCATTTTCTCTAGGGTTAGTTGATATGCTATTTACTCCTTTTCTCTAGAGACAGTTGCTATGCTAATTACTCATTTTCTCTAGGGTCAGTTGCTATGCTATTTGCTCCTTTTCTCTACGGTCAGCTGCTATGCTACTTACTCATTTTTCTAGGGTCATTTGTATGCTATTTACTCCTTTTTCTGGATTAATTTACATCTGGGCATATTTCTTATTCTAAATATGTTTTCTTTTAAGAGATCTAGCATTCGGTTTTATGCTACTATTTTATATCTTTAATTTACGTCATTGCATGTTTTAATTATATAACTAGACATTCCAAAAACTGCCTATATAAACGTGCTTCTCATTCTTACATTTATTATTTGTCACTTACTGTAATTATGTCTTGTCATTATGTAGTAATGTCATCAGGAATAATGTAACATCAAATAAATTTCATTATGACTTGTACTTAACTGATTTAATTATGCCAACTTTGTACAAGTAATAAATATTATATTATATATACATTATATTTTTATTGGATGAAACACAAATACAAATATGTATTTAACAGTGATAACACATTATGTATTAAAGAGAACAATAAAACTTACATAGAGGAAAGAGAAATTGTGTGATACGCTGGTCTACAGCCAAAATACTTCCTAAATAAATGTAGTCAAACTTTACTTATTATGTGTCACTTAGAACATATCTGATGCTTAAAATTGTTGATTGGCGCTAGTTTTAAAAATAAGATTCTGGGTCAGTATATAGGACCATTGACATGCGAATGGCGTAGGATAAGGGAGTTATAAAGGGAAGGGATCCCATTTTAAACCAGAAAAGACTAAAATACACTCACATCTTTGACTGGATCTAAAACTAAATTTATGACTGGGTTTAGATAGTACTTGCTTTTTAGTCAAAACAATGACTGGTGCAATCTGAAGCCGGTATTGTGTCATATATGATACGATTTGCATCATGTTATTCCTGAAGGTCATTGATGATGCAATCATAGCTAAGCTTATATCACTGTGCTGAACAAATTGGCCTCTATCAGCTCAAGAATTCATACAGCGTCGTGCTCTCTTATTTGTCAGTGTTTGATTTTTGCAAAGGGAAACATTTCTCTTTAGCTAAAGTGAGAAGAGATGCCTAGTACTTTTGTGAACAATACAGATAACTTCTGCTACGTTTGTGGTGAAGTGACTTTTGCATCACAGAAGAGCAATATAACCAGTATGGTTAAGAAAGCCTATCACCTTTATCGAGGCTGCAAAACTGGAGATCAGGACAAGAGCTGCGCATATGCTGCAACACTTGTACAACAAGTCTTCGCCGGTGGTTCAGCAGGAAAAGGAAATTTATGTCTTTTGCAGTGCCAATAATTTTGTGAGAGCCAACAGATCATATCAGCAATTCTTACTTCTGCATGGTGCCTCCAGTTGGGAAAGGTGTGTCAAAAAAGAAAAAGTGGACTGGACATTATCCAAACATTCCACCAGTTATCAGAAGGAATGTCGATTTCTGATGTACAGGAATCATTCTCACTCGAGTCAGACGTGGAAGAGGAAGCGGATGAAACTTCTAGTCCTAGACCATCATTGTCACATGACCCATTATCATTATCCTCTTCTAAACCACACCTCATAACACAGAGGGAACTGAATGACCTTGTCAGGGATTTGGAACTATCCAAGAGTAAGGCAGAGCTGTTGGGCTCCAGACTACAACTGTGGAATTTCTTGACAGGTGATGTCATGGTTTCATATTCCGTGACCGTTAAAAGGATCTTGTCCCATTCTTCTTCATGGAAGGTGATTTATAGCCTGCAACAAAATTGATGATGTTATGTTGTAGCCTGCAACAACATTGATGGTGTTATGTTGTAGCCTGCAACAACATTGATGGTGTTATGTTGTAGCCTGCAACAACATTGATGGTGTTATGGAAGCAATCAACATCGTTTACGATCCATATGACGGATTCATCGTTTCATCGAAACAAGTTTTAAATCTGTTTTGCTGCAAAATTGCAATTTTTTGCCATCAATTCCACTTAGTCATGCAGTCTATATGATGGAAACAATAAAAACATGAAACATCTTTTGAGGTACATAAATTATGACCAACACCAGTGGCAGCTTTGTGGCGATTTGAAGGTTTTTGTTCTCTAGCTTTGTCTGCAGACTGGATACACATAATTCTGCTGCTTTCTCTGCAAATGGGGTAGTCGTGCGAGAGATTCCCAATATATCAAGAGAGTTTGGCCACTCATACATTCATTGGAGCATGGGAAGAAAAGTGTTAAGCATCCACCACTTGTTGAATCAAGGAAGATTTTGTGACCAACTTTGCACATCAAGCTGTGTCTGATGAAGAACTTTGTGAAGGCCATGAACACAACACAAGCAGCTTTAATGTATATGTGTGGAAACTTTCCAAGGAGAAGTGAAGCTAAGATAAAGGAAGGTGTCTTTGTTGGTCCTTAGATTCGTGAGCTTCTTCGAGGTGATGCATTTCCCCGAGCACTGCGTTGCAGGGAAAAGACTGCATGGAAACTGTCTCGGAAACAATAAGGCGGACAATTACAGGGAGTTCATAAAAGCCTCCCTAAGGAATACAAAAGTCTTGCTTGCAACATGTCACTAAAAATGCATTGTTTGCACTCTCATCTAGATTTTCATCCACCAAACAGGGGGAGGGCAGTGAGTGATGAGCACGGCGAGCGACTAACACCAGGAGATTGCAACAAAGGAGAAACGCTATGAGGGCAAAGGACCACGTCAATGCTTGCAGACTATTGCTAACAGTGACAAGACATGCTCAATTTAATGAATAAATGAGACAAGACAAGAAGCGCCTAGTAGACACTGAATAAGGACTAAACTATGTGCTTATGTTCACATAATAGTGTTTTGCCTTTTGTTTCATGATAAATTTTATTGATATATCCCTTTTGCTGTTTTTCAAATGTTACATAAACAGGGCAGGTGAAATATTGCCATTAAAGCAGCCATAAACACATGAAAAGACCTAGGTTGACACTTTATGATTCAAACTCTACAATCTACACCATATACATAGACGTAAAATGTAAATAAAAACTTAAATATCTTCAAAAGATTAACCAATCCGTTGTTTTTATTGTCATATTTAAAGTCAGCACATCAAAGTCTATAAT